TCATACACATAAAATAAAGATAAAATATTTTTAAATAAATAAATAAAATTCACCCTAAAAAGAGCCTAAAGCACATAATAGATTTCCTTTGTTTTTTTACATTTTTAAAATTTATGATATTTATTTTACTGTAAAATAACAACACCTTGATCTAAAAGAATATTTCTAGTCCAAAATCCAAAAAGAAAAAGTCCAACCTTAAATCTCCGCATTTCCTGATGGGGATACTTAGTTGGCTCCATCTCTTCTAAAGTACAGAGGGTAAGCTACTGTTATATAGGAAATAAAATTCTCAAATGAGATAAAAAAAGGTTCAGGAAGTTGCTTCATATTCTTTTCCTAATTAGCTCAGTGATTAATGTAACTAAAACTTAACACCCCTTATTACAAAATGTGATGCCTGACAATGTTACATTATGGAAATTTAAAAAGAATCAGGAGGCCAGGCATGGTGATGCATGCCTTTAATCCCAGCATTCAGGAGGCAGACCCAGGCCAATCTCTGTGAGTTCATGGCCAGCCTGGTTTACATAGTGAGTTCCAGGCCAGCTGGGGCTACAGGGAGACCCTGTCTCAAAAAGACCAAAAAAAAAAATCAGAAATACACACACACACACACACACAATATTAAGATCAAGCGTCGGGGTGTGGTACATGCCTTTAATCCCAACACTCAGGAAGCAGAAGCAGACAGAACTCTGAGAGATCTGGTCTATATATAGCTAGTTCCAGGCCAGTGGGGTCTACAGGGAGACTCTATCTCAAAGAACAACAACAACAATAACAAAAAACCCTGGGTATGGAAAATTGAGTACTTGGGTAAAATAGGTTAAAATACGCTCAGTAAGAATAATGTTATGCTTGTGTGGTAGGACATCTCCAGGCTCAAGGAAAATCCTTCCCCCTTGGATGGGACACAGACCCCACCAGAGTAAACTGCATACTGGCCCTATTACAGGATACAGATGCATGGTAAATAAGACTTTCCAGAGTCTACTGCTCCTCTTTCTTTTTTATTTTATGTGTGCAAGTGTTTTGCCTGCATGTATGTAAATACGCCCATGTCATGCAATGCCCTCAGAGGCCAGAAGAGGACACTGGAGTCCCTGGAACTAGAGTTAAAGATGGCTGTTAGCCACCACGTGGGTGCTGGACTCCAAACCTGGGTCCTCTGCAAAAGCAGCCAGTGCTCTTACCTGCTGAGCCATCTCTCCAGCTTCCATGCTCCTCTTTCTGGTTACACAGCTAGCCCACTGGAACCTCCTCATCAGCAGTGAGAATAAATCACTCTTCATGTCTGTCTCCCGATTGGCTGGTTCCACCAATGGGCGGGGCCTGACATGAGTGGGAAGTAGGAGGGGAAGCTGGGAGCCATCTTAGGATGGAAGCCAGGAGACCCCGGTAGATCGTGATGGTGTAGGAAATTCGCAGCAACTCAAAGACAGAATGGACTGACTCCCTGTGGACCTGGGGCGAGATCGCTGGCCCCAGAGGCGTGAGTGAATGCTAGCGGGGCTGTGGGCATGGGACGATCTGATAAGGCGGGCTCTGAGTCATGGCGGCAGCGCAGGGCTAGGCACTGGGTACTCATTCCTTTGTAATTTAATAAACTCACATAAAATATATGGTTTGTCTGATCAGGCAGGAGACCCAGAGAGAATTCAGCCACAATGTCTCATGGAGGGGGGGGGCGGTCATAAGGCCTAAACCCATGCTGAATGTCTTGAGCAGGGAAAGGGCAAAGAGCAATTACTCTACACTCAGTATCCCCAGCTGATAAACGGTGGTATGTAGATGGAGGAAACTTTGCTCAAGCCTACCACCTACCTTCGAGTCTCAACCTTTTAGCAAAGCTAATCCCAGGACAAGGACGTTATTATTTGGGTCTTTTAATGTTCATGCTCACGCTATATGAGTCCCTAAGGAATTCTAAACAGCTTTAAGACTATATGCCAGACAGACACACACCTGGTTAGATGGAACCTCAATTGAGGAATTTTTTCCATTGGCCTGTGGCCATGTCAGTGGGGCATTTTCTTGATTATTGAGTGATATGGGAGGGCCCAGCCCACTATGGGCAGTGCCACCCTGGGCAGGTGGTCCTGTGCTATATAAGAAAGCAGGCTGAAAGCTGGGCATGGTGGCATATGCCTTTAATCCCAGCACTCAGGAGACAAAGGCAGAGGCAGGCAGATCTCTGTGAGTTCAAGACCAGCCTGGTCTACATAGTTCTAGGCCAGCTGGAGCTACACCAAGACCCTGTTTCAAAAAAAAAAGACATGCCCCCCCCCCACCGAAAAAAACAAACAGGCTGAGCACAGGCCAGAGGAGCCAGTAAGCAGTGCCTCCATGGTCTGTGCTCCAAGTTCCTGCCTTGGCTTCCCTTGATGATGGACTGTGCTGTAGGTCAAATAAACCCTTTCCTCCCCAAGTTGGTTTTGGTCAGTGTTTTTATCAGAGCAACAGAAAATAGCTAAGACAGACTAGAAATCAAACAGCTGTAGGTTTCAAACAGACTATATTCTGGTGGTTAACAATAAATAAGAATGTAAATTAATTAACAAAAATTTATCAGTTATAACAAGCATGGCTTTAAAGAGTACCTAGCCAGCTGGATGGCACAAACTGAATGACTTGGGAGAACAGGATCACACTTAATGCTAGAAGAAAAAGTGTTTGTATTATGTTTGATGGAAGATCTTGTACTTTTATTCCCAATAATATAGTTCCTGATGAAACAATTATAAAGGCTCTTTAGGGACTACTTTGTTCAATGAGTAAGCAAAAAATTCAGGAATAAATGACACTTTTTCTAATCTTATGAAATGATCTTTTGAAAAATAACTATTCGAAGCCAGGCCTGGTGGCACACGCCTTTAATCCCAGCACTCGGGAGGCAGAGGCAGGTGGATCTCTGTGAGTTCCGGGCCAGCTTGGTCTACATAGCGAGTTCCAGGTCACCTGGGGCTACAGGGAGACCCTGTCTCAAAAAGACCAAAAAAAGGAAAGAAAACCATTTGAGGGGCTGGAGAGATGGCTCAGCAGTTAAGAACACTGATTGTTAGCCGGGCGTGGTGGCGCACGACTCTTAGTCCCAGCACTTGGGAGGCAGAGGCAGGCAGATCTCTGTGAGTTCAAGGCCAGCCTACATACATAGTGAGTTCCAGGACAGCTGGGGTTACAGGGAGACCCTGCTTCAAAAAGACAAAAAAAAAAAAAGAACACTGTTCTTGCAGAAGACCCAGGTTTGAATCCCAGTACCCACATGGCAGCTAACAACTGTCCGTAACTCCAGTCCCAGAGAATCCAACAGCCTCTTCTGTCCTCCATGGGCATTGCACCACATGGGTGCACTTACCTACATGCAGGTATAACACTCATACATATACAATAAAAATAATGAATAAAATATTTTTTAAAAATTTGTTTTAAATGGCTGAGCTTTTGCTTTGTTTGGGCCTCAGTCTTTTGGGTATGAACCCACTGAGTCAGTGCGAGTATGAATAAACTTCATCCTGGAAAAAAAACTTTGGCATCTCATCTCTCTGCACAAAGTACCTCCAGCAGTAGTTGTGAGCCATCTAACGTGGGTACTGGGAACTGCACTGGGGTCCTCTGGAAAAACAGTATGCACTCTTCAATGCTGAGCCATCTCTCCAGTCCTTCCCAGCTATCAGGCTAGCCACAAACTCACTAGATTCACCTGAGGTGTGCACCACCACACTCAGCAAGAACTACTAATTTTTAACTGAATAAAAACCAAAGAACTCAAAAAATGACATAGTCCACGATCATGGAAAATATAAAGCCTCAGGATTAAGATGTCAGGTTTCCTCAATTTGCACTGAAAATTCAACACAATCCTAATAAAAATCCCAACACCTTGTAACAGGAAACATTCTCAAGTTTATATAGAAAGGGGGAAAACAAGCAAAATGGTCCACACAATCCGGAAACAATAGTACACACACTGAGGCAGAATTTAAGACACAATAGGGGCTGCTAGTGCAGAGGACACAGCTACGGTTCCCAGCACCTACATGGAGGCTAACAACCATCTGTAACTCCAGTTCAGGGCATCCGATGTCCTCTTCTAACCTCCGCAGGCACTGCATGGCACAGGTGCACTTACAGAGAGGCAAAAATACTCAAACACATAAAAATAAAGAACGAGCCGGGCGTGGTGGCGCACGCCTTTAATCCCAGCTCTCGGGAGGAAGAGGCAGGCGGATCTCAGTGAGTTGAAGGCCAGCCTGGTCTACATAGTGCGTTCCAGGACAGTTGGGGCTACAGGAAGACCCTGTCTCAAAAAGACGGAAGGAAGGAAGGAAGGAAGGAAGGAAGGA